CCCCAACCAACCGCCCTCCATCTCGGCGCACCCACCTCCGGCCTCCCCCATCTAATCCGCTCTCTCCCACCTCGCCGGCATGACGCCGCCAGGGCGTCAGCCGCCGCCGCACTTACCCCTCAAGCCGGCTGGCGCACTTCCTGACGGCAGCGCGCGCGCAAGAGACATTGATGCTGTCCCAGCCCGCGCAAGAGACATAGACGCCGTACCAGCCCGTGACTGGGAACGTCCCTTCTGGCCCACCGACGTAGGTTTCCGCGCCTCAGTTTCGACCAAGAGCTGACGCGACTCCATCTTCCCTTCATTGATTCACTATTCAGCAGCGCGCATGGCCAAACCGAGGCCGACCAGGCTACCGCAACGGTTCAAGGCGCACACCCTCCCCTAGCTTTCGCGAGCGCGATCGTGATCGGGAACGCGATTGGTCATCTTATCGCGCGCGTGAGGATGAGCGGCGCGATCCCCGCGAGCGCGAACGCGATGGGCGCCGCCGTGACCGAGACGACAGGTATCGCCGCGACCGCGATAGGGACGATAGATACCGCGACGATAACGCTACGCGGTTTCCCGATGGCCGACGCTCTCCACGCACCCGCTCGCGTCCCCTGTCTCCCAGAAGGAGGAGGGAGCCTGTCCCCGGCCCAGGGCCGAGCACGATGGCCGCCCGGTCGCCGCCCGCGTCACCAGACCGCTCTCCTGGTGAATTAGAAGAAGGCGAAGTTGTCTCTCCTGTCCGAACCGCGCGGTGGGGTGGCGAGCGCGACCGCGAGCGCGACCGCGAGCGTGATCGCGGCAGTGACAGGGACAGGGGACGACGCCGCTGGTCCCCCTCCCGTGAACGTGAACGTGAACGTGAACGCGATCGTGGATGGGGATGGGGCCGTTCCCGTCCTTCCTCTAGACAGCGCTCGCCTGCCTCCCCTGCCGCAGCGCCCTTCTCCCGTCCTATCGACGATGGCTGGGCGAGCAGGAGACGAGCCGCGACTTCGCCAGCCCAGAGCTGGCGCAGTGGATCAAGGCCGCGCTCCCCGCCTCCGAGTCGCCCCAGGTCACCGGACGAACATAAGCCCGACGTCAAGGATTACGAGGACCGACGGTCTTCATATGCGCCCTCTGCACGCTCGGAACGCGCACCATCTGAACGTTCCCATGGTCGGCACGAGTCTCCATCTGCCCCGGCCGTTACAACTCGCACAGAACCTATGGGCAAAGAAGCGTCTCCAGAGCCAAGGAAAGAGCAGGTGCATTCTTCCACGTCTGAGGAAAAGCGCCGAGCACCAGCGCCGTTAGCACCGCTCCCACAGAACGGACACTCCCCGACTGCGGCTTCCAGCGAGCCAATACGGCCGGAGGAGTCTGCTGCAAAGGCCCCACCAGTCTCTCATACCGAAGTTGAGGCAACGTCTGCCCCTGTCGCTGCGCCCGCCAAGAGCGCACCGCAACCAAGACAAGAGCTTGAAGCGCCCTCAACGATCGAGACTTCGCCTGCGATGACCCCTCAGGCCTCGCCTGCAGATCCGCATGCGGTCGTGGAAATTCGCAAGCCACTAGAGCCAGTGGAGAAGGTCGAAGATGACGGGGGCGATCCAGTCCAGGAGGCGCAGTCTGTGCCCTCGAAAGGTGTTGAGGCGGCAGCCTCTCCACCACAGGCGGTGAAGTCGTCCGAGCCCCGATCGGAACCCGTTGAGTCTGTCAAGGAAGTCCCGATTTCCGTTGAGGTGGTCGCACCCGTGCAGGAAATAGCCATGCCTGCGGACGCGCCTGTCAAGTCGGATCATATCAGCCCAGCGGAGCTGTCCGTGTCTGAGCCCGTCGAGAAGTTTGCAAAGAAGCCTGCGCTTGTCGACGAGACTGAGCCCGCAGTCGCTGAGCCAGCATCTGATCCTGCCGCGCAATCCGTTGTGCCAGAGGCTGAAGCACCCCAAGGGAAGTCTGTGGCCGAAGTGGCCGAGGTACCATCGCCCGTGGAGGCTATCGCTGTGGCCAAGATTACCGATGCTCCTGCCGCCGAGGAACTGCCCGTCGCAGAACCACTAAAGGTCACAGAGGAAACTACCAAGGTGGCCGAAATACCAGCCGAGGAGACCGAGGAACCCGTCAAGGTCACAGAAACAGCCGACAAGGTCGCGGACGAGCCCTCTCAGGTCACAGAAGCACCTGCCGAGGTCGCGGAGGATCCTGTCGAGGTCGCGGAAGACCCTGTCAAGGCTGCTGAGGGACCATCCAAAGCTGCGGAAACAGCAGTCGAGGTTTCTGCAGTCAAGGAAGTCGTCGAACAACCTGTTGTCCAAGCCGCCGCGGGAACACCAGTTGACAAGAGTTTGCAGCCAGAGTCCACAGAGGGTCAGACGTTTGCAAAGGGGCCAAAGTCCACAGAGGGGTTGAAGCCCGCTGAGGAGCAGAAGCCTACCGCCGACGCACATTCCGCAGAGGAGGCACCCTTGAGCCAAGCTGCGCCCATTCACACTCCCCCCGCCAATGCCGACGTCGATGTCAAGATGGCCAGCCCCTCGCCATCCCGAAGCGCCGTTTCCCCCGATCAGCCCATCCAGGATGCCGAGGGCAATGCCGCTCGTCACGATACCACCCCGGCTGTCGTCGCCGCGTCATCAGAGGCCACACCAAAGTCCACCACTGCCATTACGATCGACAATAAGCATAAGCTTATTGATCCCATTCACGAGCCCAAGCCCAAGGATTTTGCTTTTGAGCCAGAGAGCAGCCCCGCCGTCGTCCCTGCCGTTGAGGTTGCTTCAGCATCCAAGAAGGCCAGGGAGGAGACAGAGGTTTCTAAGCCACCCACGGCACATATCGAGGAGACCTCAACTCCCAGTCACGCTACCGAGTCCAATCAAGCAGCCGAGCCCATGGTTGTTGACATTGCCACGCAATCAGATCCAGTGCCTGTTGACCCTCAGGCACCTGGCTATGAACATGAACCCTCTTCCACCATCGTTCTGGAAGCCGTTCCTGAAAGCTCTGAACCACCAGCCGAAGATATCGAGATGGTCGAGAATAGCGCTACGGCCGAGAAGGCTGAGAAGTCGGTCTCGTTCCTTTCTCCAGAGCTGCCCTCGACCCCTCTCGCCTCACGCCCAACTCGATCCACAATAGCGGAGCGCAGATTGGTGAACCTTCCGGACAGGGAGCCCCTACCGCGAAGCTCAAAGGAGCGGTTCCGCGACCCAGTCCCAACAGCCGACTCGATGCAGACCAGTACCGATGCCGAGGACGTGGAGGAGGAAATCTCGCCGCTCGAGCGCCTTCTCCGCGACAACATCCGTGCTGCTCAATACGCCGGCGACGACATCGACATCGATAGAATCCTACAGTGGAACCAGGAATGCGCGCCAATCGAGAGCTCACGAGTCCCTACCGACCCGGACTTTGATGCTGACAAGTTCATCGCTAAGCTGGTGCAACCTCTCAGCAAACAGCAGATGCGTGTTGTGCCGCACGTTGCTTACGTCATCGCGCGTGAGAGCGAGGAGCTGAAGGCCAAGATCGAGATGCTGAGCGAGGAGTATCTGGAGAAGGACAAGGCTTGGCGCGAGCACTGCGCTTACCTTGACAAGCTTATGGAGAAGCGTGGGCCTCCGCCGGCTGACCTGTACGCCATCCCTGGTAGCATTCTTCCTCCCGCCACACCTGGCATTCCGCCTACGACCCCCATTGTCGAGGAAACGTATCCATCGCGCAGCAATCGTCGCCGTGGTGCTGGTGACGCTGTGGCCACCGAGGCTGAGTACCAAGCCATTCTCGCCGGCCTAGCCGACAGCGCCGCCAAAGACCCAACGCACCGTGCTACGAAGACGGCCGCTACTATCCCGGACATGATACTCACCAAGGAGCGCGACTTCGTCTACGAGGATGAGAATTACCGGGTCCTCGACCCACTCAAGACGTATGATTTCAACGGTGACGAAGATCCGGTTTGGACCGACGACGAGCGTGCCAAGTTCCTCAAGCGGTACCTGACCAACCCCAAGCTGTTTGGCAAGATTGCAGAGGGCCTTCCGAACAAGACGGCGGGCGAGTGTGTCCAGTACTACTATCGCACCAAGTATCCGAACGACTACAAGTCGACCCTCGCATCCAGACGGGGTGTCAAGGCTAGACGCGCGGTTGCGAAGAAGAAGAGCTCTGCACTCATGGCGGATATCGAAAGGACCAAGGAGACGTCCGGCAGCACGAACAAGAATAAGCGCGAACGTGAGCGTGAGGCGCGGGCTGAGCGGGACAAGGGCGAAGGCGGTGGTTCGGCCACGGGTACACCGCAACCTAATGGCCGCAAGCCCCGCGGTAAGGGAGGCGATACCCCGAGCACTGTCGCTGGGGAGGAGACACCCGTGCCGCCCTCGCGCAAGCGCAAGACAGACGACAAGACGGACAACGAGGATAGCAATGCCCCATCACGTGCGACATCCGAGGCACCGTCTACCGCGAGCAAGAAACCACGTCCAGCCAAAGCTGCCTCGAAGAAGCGACCGCGCCCAAGCACGCTCAAGGAGGAAAAGGAGTCGCCTAGCGTTTCGCAGCAGCCGACGCCGCCTTCTTCAGCGCAGTTGCCTGATCCTGCGCAACAAGCCGCCATTGACCATGCCGCTGCGGTGGCCATTGCATCGATGAACGGCGGTGCACCTCCACCTCCACCTCCTGCTCTGGTCGCTAGCACAGCGGCTGCCGCCGCTGCCGCCGCCGCTGCTGCTGCTGTTGCGCCTGCAACTCCTACTAGTGCTTCCGTCCCTGAAACCCCAGTTGTCATCGACCCTCAATCACAGCTACCGATCGATACGGGACCTCTCCTGCCTCCTGTCAAGCGTGCCAAGCGGCGCAAGCAGAACCACCCGCCGCTGGACGAGGCCGAGGTTGCTGTCGCTGAAGCCGCGTCCACGCCCAAACCTCGCCGCTCCGGCACTAACTCGTACTGGTCGGTGGCGGAGAAGAACAAATTCCCTGAGTTGGTGCGCGAGCACGGCACCGACTTCAGAGCGATAGCGGACAAGCTGGGTGGGACAAAAACTGTCGTCCAGGTGCGAAATCACTTCAAGTCGATGGAGGTCGAGTTGAAGGAAAAGGGTATCATTCAGCCCGAATTGATCGAGGTCGGCGTCAGAGACGTCAAGGTCAACGGCGCGGCAGACGTGAGTTCCTTGTGGGCCAGGTCTGACGTGCAGGCGTATGGTGGCTTCCCGCCTCTCCGAACCGGACACGACTTCCCTGCTGCTGCTGGACAGCCCGCTCCACGCCGCACATCACACGAGTATCCCGAACCGCGGATGGCCATGTTCCCTCCAGCGCCTCATGCGCCTCCACCCATCACTATCTCAGCATCCGCTACTCCCTCTGCCCCGCCATCAAGATCAGGCGGAATGCGCATCTCGGCGCTACTTAACGACGACCCGCCGGCGGAGACGCGCGCTTTTGACACTGCCAGCATCGCCTCTGATGGGACTGTCGATGAGTTTGACCAGAATCCGCCCCGTCGCCCGTCGCCGCGCCTTCCACCGCCGCCGTATCACGAGTACAACCGGCGCACGTCATTCGAGGACGGGCGGCTGGAGAGCCATGAGCGCTTCCGTCCAGCGTCAGGGACTTACTCTTATGCGGCTGCGGCAGCTGCACCGGGATGGCAGGGGCCCGATCCACGGGAAGTGCGCGATCCACGCGATGTGCGTGATGTGCGCGACGTTCGTGACGTTCGTGATATACGCAACGTGCGCGATGTCCGAGATGTGCGAGAGGTGCGCGACCCGAGGGACATCCGTGACCCGCGGGAGGTGCGTGAGCGTGATCCGAGGATGGAAGCCCACCTCGAGCGCGAACGTATGGAGCGGGAGCTCATGCAGCACGGGATCGCACAGCAAGCGCAGCGGGAACAGGCGCATCGCGAACGTGAACACGCACAGCGAGAACACGCCGTGCGCATGGAGCATGCGCGCCATTTGGAGATGCGGGAGCGCGAGATGCGCGACCAGCGCGACGGCCGTGATCCTCGTGAACGGGAGTACTACCACCACTCGCCGCCAGGGGCGCACGCGGGCGCGCTGCCACCGGTCTCGCGCATGTCTGGACCGCCTGTGCTGGGCGTATTCCCGCAGGCCATGCAGCAACATCCTCGCGAGTTTCGGACTGGCGACTGGCGGCCGTACATGTCGGCGCCGAATGGCGAGCACGAGTACCCTCGGTAGAAGCAATGGAAATGTGGGCAACAACTGTAGCTTAGGGCCATGCAACAATAGTGTTTGAGTGGTGCGATGAGTAAGGGGGTGTTGCGGGAGTTGGCCGAGCTGGTGGAGTTGTGTCACGCGTAATATGGTGATCAAAACCCGACGACCAAACTGATGGACATGATCGCGACACAGGTTCTGGCTGGATACATGGCGCGCCCTTCCTACCGAAACACACAAGGAAACGTAATAAGACTACTGATCTACTGTACAGTAGTTGTTGTTGTTGTTGTTGTGCCGACATGCGCCGGGGTGAGACAAGCTGTAGTAGTCTATCGCCTCGATCGCCAACCTCGAGGCCTCGAGGACGGGACCGACCGGCGGGGCCAAGCCCGATGATGCAGGATGACACGACAGGATGCGCCATGACCGCAATGCCTCTACGATCCTACGATAATAAGCCGCGAGGCCGCGGACGCCATCAACGCCCCCCCCCCCCCCATGCACCAAAACATCGAGATGGAACGCACGCGCGTCCACCCCCACGACGTCACGTAAGCAGATGATGGGGCGCGATGGTTGGTGGAATGCGCCGTGACGTAAGCGTGGGATCGGGGGCGATTTGCAAATGCCTCTGCCTGCGGCCAGTTTGAGATGGCGCAGACGCATGAGCATGAGTGTGCGCAGTTGGCAGTTGGGCTTGCAGCAGCAAGGAGGCTGATGAGGGAGGTCGAGCATTGCATTGTTGGAACGTCATGACTGCGTACTCTGCACGGACATGGCCAGGATGTTACGAGGGAGAGCGAGAGAGAGAGAGAGAGAGAGAGAGGGAGAACTGCAGAGTACAATAGAATAGGAGATAGAGAGGGAGGGAGGGAGGAGAGAGTGAAAGGAAACAAGAACGAGATCGACGTCATTGGTGAGTCATTCTGCGTGGCCTGACTCTGACTCTGGCTCTGGCTCTGGCTCTCTCTCTCTCCCCCCCCCCACACACACACAGCCTTTCAGTCTCATCTGTGCACTAAGTAGTAGTCATCTTGTTCTCTACTCTGCACTCGAGTCGCAGCAGCTGACGCCGAGAGACCACAGTAAGTCCGCTCTTGCCCTCGTGATCCGTTGCATCATCCTCGCACCACCCCCCCCCCCCCCCCCCCCCCCCCCCCCCCCCCCCCCCCCCCC